CATTTTAGGCATCAGATAGAATATAGGGCTTAGGAAAATATACCTTTGGACACTACCCCTCCCCGAACTATGGAGAGATTGAAACAAGTGAAACATCCAATTTGGAATATGAAAGAGGTGTTAGGCAAAATTTTAAAGATGTCCCCCTTCCGCCAAAATTCCTATGCCCTGGTTATTCAATCAAACACTAATCTAGGTACAGTAGTCCCCCCTTATCCACGAGGGTTATGTTCCAAGACCCCCAGTGAATGCCTGAAACCGCAGATAGTACTGAACCCTATATATACTATGTTTTTTCCTACACGTACCTACCTATGATAAAGTTTAATTTATAAATTAGGCACAATAAGAGATTAACAACAATAACTGATAATAAAATAGAACTGTTATAACTACACTATAATAGGAGTTATGTGAACGTGGTCTTTCTCAAAATATCTTATTGTACAAATTTAATTCCTTTTCCATCTTAACTAAGCACTTATGCACTGTGGTTGCAACTTTTGCAATTTGAGATGCAATAACAGAACTAGCACAAATTTCTTTTTCCTTCTTCACAATTTCACAGATAGAAGATTTGTTCTTACTCTAGATCTTAGCAACCTCAGCGTACAATTTTTTTTCTTTCCTTATTAAGTTAAGAACTTTCACCTTTTCACTTAAAGGAAACACTTTACATCTTCTCTGTGGTGTATCCAAATTGCCAGCATCTCTACTCTTGCACTTTGGAGCCATTATTAAGTAAAATAAGGGTTACTTGAACACAAGCACTGCGATGCCTTGATGGTTGAGATGGCTGCTAAGTGACTAATGAGGGGTAGCATATACAGCAAAGATACGCTGGACAAAGGGATGATTCATGTCCCGGGTAGGACAGAGTGGGACAGGGTGAGATTTCATCATGCTACGCAGGAAGGCACTTGCAACTTAGAACTTGTGAATTGTTTATTTCTCAAATTTTGCATTTAATATTTTCAAAGCCCGGTTGACCACAGGTAACAGAAACCATGGGTAAGAGGGGGCTACTGTACTACACAGACTTTGCAGATGAAGTTAAGGTTACTAATCAGCTGACCTTAAAATATGGAGATTATCTGTAGCTGTTATATATACAGGTGGGCTCAGTATAGTCACATGTGCCCTTAAAAGGAGAAGGCGGCAGAAGAGTCAGTCAGAGAAATGCAGTAAAAGAGGGCAAAAGAGAGATGCTGCAGAAGGGGAAGCCAGAGAGAGCCTAAGCATGAGAAGAATTTGAGCACTGTTGCTGGCTCGGAGATATAGGGGCCCACGTATAAGAAATGGCAAGAGCAGCCTCTGGGAGCTAAGGGAGCCCCCTGGTTGACATCTAGCGGAGAAATGGAGATCTCAGTCCCACAACTGCAAGGAACTTGATTCTACCAAAGAACCTGAATGAACTTGGAGGCAGATTGTTCCCCAGAGCCTCCAGTAAGGAATGTAGCCCTACCAACACCTTGATTTTAGCATGGTGAGATCTGCCTTGAACTTCAGACCTCACAGAGCTGTGAGATAATAAGTAGGTGGTGTTTTAATTTGCTGAGTTTGTGGTAATTTGTTATGGCAACAATGACTAATACAGAGAACAAAATTCACCCTTATATCATCCCACACAATATTATTTTGTTTGTTCCTTTCTGGGATTTATTGATAAGCACCCTTTGCTTAATTATAAACATGATAATGCACATATGTGTTTGTATCCTACTTTTTCTCTTAACTTGATGGTATATATTTCTCCATGTCACTACGTAGTTTTCCCTAATTATTACTTTTTTGTATGTGTATAAGGAAGATTAGCCCTGAGCTAACATCTGTTGCGAATCCTCCTCTTTTTGCTGAGGAAGATTGGCACTGGTCTAACATCCGTACCCATCTCCCTCTACTTTATATGTGGGACCCCTGCCACAGCATGGCTTGATAAGCAGTGCGTAGGTCTGTGCCCAGGATCCGAACCCATGAACTCCCGGCCCGCCGAAGCGGAGGGCGCAAACTTAACCACTGTGCCACCAGGCCAGCCCCCCTAATTATTACTTTTAATAGCAGTACAGTTATTCATCACTTAATGACAGAGTTAAGTTCTGAGAAGTGCATTAGGTGATTTTGTAGTTGTGCAAACGTCATAGAGTGTTCTTACATAAACCTAGATGGTATAGCCTACTACACACCTCGGCTATAAGGTACTAACCTTATGGGACCACCATCGTATATGTGGTCCATCGTTGACCAGCGTGAGGCACGTGACTGTGTAATGTTCCTTTGAGTAGATATGGTATGTTATACTTAACCTGTTGAACTTTTGTGTCACTTCTAAATTTTCACTAGTACTGCAGTGAGTGTTTCTATGCATTTGACCTTTTTCATATTTGAAGTTATTGGAGCAGATTCTCAGATGTATTGACCTTTTTCATATTTGAAGTTATTGGAGCAGATTCTCAGATGTATTGTTACCGAGTCAAAGAGTATGAGCATTTTTATGACTCTTATATAGTGGCAAGTCTTAAATAGCTTGCCAATATAAAAGTCTTTAGCAAAGATAAGAGAACCACGTTCATCAAAATCAGTGTTAGACCGGTGGCATAGTGGTTAAGTTTGTGCGCTCTGCTTCTGTGGCCCGGGGTTCATGGGTTCAGATCCCAGGCGCGGACCTACACACCACTCATCAATCCATGCTGTGGTGGCGTCCCATATACAAAGTAGAGGAAGATTGGCACAGATTTTAGCACAGGGACTATCTTCCTCACCAAAAAAAACCAAATCACTACTAGATAGTATCCTTTTTTAAATAATTTTTTTGTTAATAGAGGGAAGATGCTTGGTGGAGAGTTTTAAATTTAGTGGATAAAGTTTCTTAAATTGTTGAAAGAATTAGTGTATAAGCTACTGTTGTAAGTATTTGCGGGGATATAAAGCTGAATAGAGTACAGTACCTGATTTGAAGAAGTAGAAAAGTGAAAACCAGTTGTTATGAATTAGTCATGTAGCTGTCATAAGAGATATGAAGCTGGTTCCTCACATCAGGAGCTATTTTAAACCAACTTCATTTTTTTTTTATTGACAATTCATGTCTAGTCTGCTGAAACTATATTTCTGTCTTCTCCATCTATCATGCTGATTTTCTAATAGCTATCAAAACCATAATTATTTTCTTAATGTGGGTATGACTGTTTTTCATTTTGTTTCAGCTTTATTGAGATATTATTGGCATATAACATATGTAAGTTTAAGGTATACAATATGATGATTTGAGACGTGTATAGTATTTGCAAAATGATTACCACAATGAGGTTAGTTAACACTTCTGTCCCCTTACATAATTACCTTTGTGTGTGTGTGTGTGTGTGTGTGTGTGGTAACATGTAAGATCTACTCTCTTAACAGTTTTCAGGTATATAATATAATACTGTTAATTATAGTCACCGTGCTGTACATTAGAGCCTCAGAACTTATTCAGCTTATAGCTAGAAGTTTGTGCCCTTTGACCAATATCTCCCTATTTCTCCCATCCCCAGCCCCTGGCAACCACTATTATACTCTGTTTGTACAAGTTCAGCTTTTTTAGATTCGACATGTAAGTGAGAACATATAGTATTAGTCTTTCTCTGGCTTATTTCACTTAGCTAATGCCCTCAAGCTCCATCCATATTATTGCAAAAGGCAAGATTTCCTTTTTTATGGCTGAATAATAGTCGTGTGTGTGTGTGTGTGTGTGTGTGTGTGTTACACACTGCATTTCCTTTATCCATTCATCCATCAGTGGACACTTAGATTGTTTCCATGTCTTGGCTGTTGTAAATGATGCTGCAATGAACATGGGGTTGCAGATAGCTCTTCAAGGTAGTGATTTCCTTTTCTTAAAATGTATACCTAGGGGCCGGCCCGGTGGCGCAAGCGGTTAAGTGCGCGCGCTCCGCTGCGGCGGCCCGGGGTTCGCTCGTTCGGATCCCGGGCGCGCACCGACGCACTGCTTGGCGAGCCATGCTGTGGCGGCGTCCCCTATAAAGTGGAGGAAGATGGGCACAGATGTTAGCCCAGGGCCGTCTTCCTCAGCAAAAAAAAGAGGAGGATTGGCGGATGTTAGCACAGGGCTGATCGCCTCACAAAAAAAAAAAAAAATGTATACCTAGAAGAGGGGTTGCTGGATCATACGGTAGTTCTGTTTTTAATTTTTAAAGGAACCTCCACACCGTTTTCCATAGTGGCTGCACCAGTTCACATTCCCACCAACAGTATGTAAGGGTTCCCCTTTCGTGGATGTGACTTGTTTTCTTTCTTAAGTTCCCAGTTTATATTCCATTGATATCTTGAAAAGTGGAAATTTTTAGATAAAAAAATATTTGTTTAAGTAAGCATACTTGGAGTAGAGATTAAGTGCTAACTTAGAGTGTTCTATGTACTTTGAACCGAAACAGATTGTTGCACTCAGAATGAAGATTTGTTTAATACTGAAAGACAAAGTACATATATTTTCTGTGACTCTAGAGCTGCTTATACCTTTAGCTTGCTCACATGTAAAGAAACAATGAGTTAAAGCAAAAAGACACTAGATGGGAAGTTAGGATTCTAGCTCCTGTTGTGTTATTAACTGACTGTTTCCTTGAACATGTCACTTAACCTTTCGGCTTCTGCTTTCTCTTCTGTAGAATGGGAGATTAAATATGTTGATCACATGAAATATGGTCATATAGGAGAAGTATGAAAGCATTTTGTACACAGTGAGGTGGTTTATAAACTAGAGGTAGATGGTAGGAAATAATTGTTTGTCTCTGGCTGGTTTGGAAATTAAATAAAGAAATTCCCATAAAGCACTTAGAATAGATCTGGCACATAGTAAGCGTTCAACGTTAGCTAGAATGAAAATGGAGACAGTGACAAAGTTTTGGTACTAAAATACTCTGTTTCTGAAAGATTGTATAATTGAACTGCTTTAGAATCTATACAAAAATAAGGTATACTTTAAATAAGTATGTGTTTTTATTTTCTAGGATCAAATCTAAATCGCTGTGGTTTCCGAGGCTCTTCATACCTGGGTATTCCATTCAATCCATCAAAGGTTAGTTCTGTTTGGGTCAGGAGAAAGGAGAAGGGGAGATTTTAGTGAGAAAGAAAACAAAAAAAATATACAGAAAGAACCAGGTTTCCAGGTTTTAATATAGCTAAATACTAATGTATATTATGAACTGAAACTCTTTAAAAGCAAACTATATCTGCCTTACTTCCTAGAAGAATGCACAGTCCATATACACACAGAAATTCCTGTCATTACAAAAATTATGTCCTTACTATCCTGTGTGTGTGTGTAAAAATTATTGGTGATTTCCTGTGGAAAATGGAAATAAAGCACTCAAGTGCTTGATACTTTCTAAGAAGCCAGTGAACTTCCATGTGTTAGAGAAGGACTGTGCATTTGGCTCTCATTTCTTAGGAATAAAAGAGAAAGCTCTTGCCAAGGCAGCGATTGAAGACCCAAGTAGTGATGGCTTTGATGACCTTCATGGCAGTAGGCACACTGTCTTTAGGGTTATGGCCAAAGGCTTTGGTACCAGCACGTGCAGGTGTAGAAAGCAGTGAGTCCTAACAAAATGAGTTTTTTTTCTTAAAAGAATCAGACCCAGAACAAGTGTAGGTATTTCATCTGTACACAAAATACTACAGTAGAAAGCAGAGAAAAACTTCATCATTTTGTCAAAATAGAAACTTTTTTCCTTAATGGACTCAGTCTGCTTGTATAATGTTTACAGGCCAGTATCTGGCTACACTGAGTACATCAAGATTTATATCCACTTGCAAGCTGGAGGTAAATGGTGTGCTGCCAGTTTTTCCATAATCTGCTTCATAATTTTAGAATAAATAGCAGTGATTTTAGAGAAGGTGACATGGTTTGATAGAGGCACTGCTTCAACTTTCTTCCTCTGCCTTAAGCTGTAGACCAACTTGTTTTGTCAAGGTCATGTGAATTTGCCAAGGTGTCTCCAATCATGTGTATCCATTGCATTTTAGTAGGGACTCTAAAAACAAAGGATTCATAAAATTTGTCCTTTTTTGCCATACATATAATATTTTCCAATTTAAGCCAGTCCTGAATAAAGATAGCTCTCCATTTAGTTAAAATGGACGGGATATCTAGATGTCATGACATTGGTAATGATGACCATTATACAGTACCATACCATATACAGGTGTATACCTACACTTGTTGGAGTAAAGCAATGCTTTGATAACATTACTTTTAATAGACAGTCCTCTTCCTCCTCTGCAAGACATTTTCAAAATAACGAGAATAAAATTTAAGAAGAAACCATTTTTTACCTTTGGTGCGCAGACTTGCCTGAAACCCATTTTTGGCCCTTAATTCACCTAGACCCTGGCATCTTCTGGGGAAGCTAGGTCCCAGTCCATGCTGTGTTGCCTTCATCTGAATTCTGAGTGGTGGAAGGAGCTAGAGACTTCAGGTGGAATCATAATGGCCCACAAGGAGTTGTCGCTGAAGAGGGTGGCTGAAGGGGGTGGCTGAAAGTCCAGGAGACAGATGAAGCCAAGAGAATCTGAGAATGCACACAGGATTGTCCAATAGAGTATGTAAATGAAATAGTGTCATTAGTTTTTCTTCTGAAACCACCAAACCACCTCTGGGCCACTGACTTACCTGGACCTTCAGTGGCCAGAGAGCACTTTTTGAGAAACACTAGTAGATTCTCCCAATCTGCTTTTCTCACTGTTTTCCTTCACAAACCCCATATTCTCTATTAAATTATGTATTGTCCTTAACGTGTACTACATATCCCAGAATTTTCCTTCTCAGCTTTTTTGCTTTTACTTTTTCTTCTACCTATAAAGCCTCCTCTCCATCTATATCTAGCCAAGCTCCTCTTCTGCTGCAGAAAAGAATCCTTTGTTTAAATCCATGTATTATTATATTTCCCTCATGACATTTATGACATTCTACTTTGTATTATAATTATTTAAGCAGGCCTCTCTTCTGCCCTCAAGGTTAAGGTCCACATTTGATTTATGTTTGGATTTTAACATAGCAGATGTTTAGTTTTAAGTACCAAAAAATGAAATATGCTATAGAAGTTCTAAGAAGGCTGTTATAAATATGGAATGGAATAGCTAGGAGTATGAGAATTGAGTTCTAAGGAGGAACTCAGAATGAAAGAGATATCAAGATGAAAATTTGCTTGGCTTATTTGTGAAACTATATAAAGAACTGTAGATGTAAAGCTGAATGTGTGTGGTGGGTTCAGATTATAGAGGTTATTGAACACCATGCATACTTATTCTCTGAGGAACCACGGAAGGTCAGTGAGCAGGAAAATAATGTGATTAAGTCACTGGTGGTTTCAAGACCATTGAGTCATGACTCCAAAGAAGTAGTGGCCCTTTTGATATCTGCCTTGTACTTGCATCATCATCATTGAGATTACTAGGATCTTTATAGACAGTAAGTTTATTTAATCCTCACAATAACCCTATGAGGTAGGTACTAGTATCTCCATTTTCCAGAATGAGGAAAATTAAGCCAGCCAACAGGTAGTAGAGCCAGGATTTGATGCCTTTCAGTGGTTGTAGAAGTTAACATTTTAGAAAGCAGAGGAGTCTATTTTAACCAAATCTTTGGTAAAGTTTCATTTTAACTTTCTGGTATTATGAGTAATTATTCTAGTATTTGAAGCAATTACTGATGAACCCAAACTAAAATAGAAGGGAAACTTATGAGAAAGATGAATTAAAAATATGCTCTTGAGGGGCCGGCCAGGTGGCGCAAGTGGTTAAGTGCGTGCGCTCCATGGCCCGGGGTTCGCCAGTTCGGATCCCAGGCGCGCACCGACGCACCGCTTGTCAGGCCATGCTGTGGCGGCATCCCATATAAAGTGGAGGAAGATGACAAGATCCAGCATCCATTTATGATAAAAACTCTGAATAAAATGGGTATAGAAGGAAAGTACCTCAACATAATAAAGACCATATATGAGAAACCCACAGCTAATAT